GACAGTCATTCAGAAGGTGCCACACGCTGGCCCTTAGGTCACCAGGAAATTCTCATTCCAAAATCTGATCTTAAAATATTTGGTCTGTAAGAGCCCGCTACTGTAACAACCTTTATATTATGGAAACAAAATAGCAGGGGCCCCCATGCATTTGTGTCTAGAGAAAAACCACCATTGTTCCTTTGCAGGAGATGGAATCGGATGGCTTTGTGACCTCACTCCTGCTCTGCTCTCAGATCTCATCTCATGACACTGCCCACCCTTCTCATTCCTTTCAAGCTTCTCAGAATGCCTTCTCTCCTCTGTCTTGACCTTTGCCCATGTTGTTCCATCTTCCTGAAAGTTCTTCCTCCAATCTCGTCAGGCTAACCCACCCATCTCTGTTCTTCCAGGAAGCTGCTCTCCCCCCACCCCCACAAGCTGCTGCCTGACAACTTGAAGCAGCCCCAAACTTTTTCGGGTCTGAGGATAGCGTCCATCACTCATTTTCTGCTGAATCTTTGCAGTATCCGGTACATGACGTGCTCTGTATTTCTTGAATAGAGTGAACAAACAAAAAAATGAAGGCCAGTGGCATAATGAAGCTCAAAGTCAAAAACTCCAAATGACAAAGGCAAGTGTTTTTTGTTAACCATCTAAATACTGTGCACTAATTCCTCCCCCACATAAGAAAGGAATGGAAATAAATATATTTACTAGGTGCCTCCCAGATTGAAAAGTCCACAGTTCTCTTCACCTAAAGAAGACAAGGACTTAATTACTACTTTTTTTCTCCTCCAGGCATATAGTAAAGCTATCCTCTCTAGCCTACAGGCTGTGAATGTGCTGATTTAAGCATTGTTTCTGACCTCCTGTTCTTGTCTTTCTCCATTAATCCCGCTACATTTTAATGTTTTAATTCAACACATAATTTTGCCATATCAGTCACCCAAACCTGCTCAAGTTTCACTTGCCATGATAGCTTTTAACCTCTTATTCATTACCATAATTCCCTGTTTTATATTACAGACTGACCAGCTTTTAACTTAAATGCGAGGGGCAGACAAGAGTGCTGTAGTTTTAAAGGCTGTAAATCTCGGAGGTGAAGGAAGGGGGTGAACATGAAGAAAACGGTGAATGTGTCAAGCCGGGTTGTAAAAGCAGATCGACGACACGCGGTGCAGTTTGTCCAGAGAAATATCCCAGCCCCGCTTCTCCACCACATCAGAGTCGCTAATAAACTGGGAGAATGTCAGAGCCACTTTCCAGGGCACCACGTGGGACTGCAGGTTGATTCTGTGGTAGCCCAGTTAAAATGGACTCGAACTTTCTCATTAGTAACTTTTCAAAACTAAAGCCTAGAATATTCTATAACGAGTTAATCTCTAAAATCACTTTGAAATGTAAAATAGGCTTGAAGAAAACAAAACAATTGTGTTGAAATGGCCCAGGTTTACAAAGGGATGATCTATATTTATACTCTTGCCGTTTTGTTTAAAAGTTGGAGCAGGTTCAACTTAGCTTTATTTCTTACTCCCCCAAAAAGTTCACTGTCTCTGGACCATTGATGTATTTTAAAATCAGAGACTGGGTTTTTTTGGTAATTTTTCTGTTTTCGTTTTGATTTGGTTTTGCTCATGAATAAACACTAGAGTTTGTAGGCACTATGGTCCATGGGATGCTGGATCTGGGGACCAGCCTTGACCCCCTTGGGAATAACTTGTGGCTCAGTGGAAGACAACAGGGGAACCATGGCACAAGGAGATTTCAGAAAGTTCCATGTGACTTAGGAGACACATATCCAGAAACCCCCTTGGGCAACAGCATGCCACCAGTTGAGACCTTGGCTCATCATCTCCATCACCAAGCTAGCACCCCAGCAATGCCATTGCCGCTGCTCAATCCTTTAGTCAACAAACGTCTTTTGCACCATGTCCTTGAAGATATTCACTGCCAACTTCTGCAAAAAATTTCAAAAAAATGTCTATACTGTTTTGAAAAATATACATATATGCAATATATATATACAAAAATATATATATGCAATATATATACACTATACACACACACACACACACTGAATTTTACTAGCCATATTTCTTTTTCTTAAATTGCATAATTTTAGTTGCAAATGTTGTGGGGATCTACAGTTGTCATACAGAACAATCTCAAAATTAATAGTAATAATAATATCTAGCATTTAAGTGCTGATAAAAGACCTAGGTATCATGTAGACACTGTTGCTGACCGGACCCCACTGCATGGAAAGAAAGCCCAATTTCACAAACAAATCCATTGCCCGAGGTCACACAGCTAACAAACTCTGTGGTTCAGCAAGCCCTGAATGTGCAACTCCAAGCTGGTGCTCCCTTCCTTATGTCAATCTGCCTGCAAAGGGAAGCTTCACTGATGAGAATTTCCTCAGAGAGGCCACGTAGGGCTTTAAATGACTAGCATCAAGGTGTTCTCCAAAAACAAAATATGCAACATGTCTTAGGAAACAATTATGACTCATGCACACTGTCGGAGAGTTTCCTCATGCAAAAAGGTATTTCCCAACCACAGGTGGATAAAATAACCGAGCCTTAAAATTATAAACAACAAAGAAAATGAAATGAGAAAATAAGTGAGAAATTTGAAGTGGGAAGGAACAGTATGTAACAGGTCAGTGAGTTTCAGCATATGCTGACACCACCTCATGTTTAACTCTGAGAAGCAGTAGGTTTCACCCCACTGCAGGGTAATGCTGTGTAGCCAGCTCACAAGAGATGCTTTTGTTATCTTTTGTACCTCAGGAGAGGAAAAAGGAAAGGATACCAAAAAGCTCCTTTAAAATCCATGAAGAGGAAGGACATCATGACCCCTGGGACAGGTACACGTCTAAGTTACAAACAGGAAATAAGTAAAATAAATGCATACTCCGATGACAACACATAGAAGAAAAGGGACATCTTAAATTATTTTTTGTGGCTGTGGAGAAACTTAACACTCATCTGGAAAAGCATTTCCTATTATGTAAGGAAACGGGACAGCACAGTGATGTGTGAAATGGGAAGGGTATTATTCTTTGCACCTCCTAAAATAACACATTGGCCATTCATCACTGGAAGCCCAAATCCCCACCACTCAGATAACGCTTTGGGACACAGAGTTCTCTGCGTTTGTGCATTTACAGAACTCATCCTCGGCTGCATGAGCTAGCACAAAGTTTCTGATCCTCCTGCCATGGGTGTTGGCAGGGCACTGGTATGTCACAGTGATGACAAGTGTCAGAGGTCCCGAGAAATGTCTGAAGTGTCTCAGTTACACTGTGTAGACGCAGGAGGGAGATACGAGACCAGGCTAAAGTCATCTGCGAGATGACTAGGGGGCCACCCCCTGCAAAAGCTGGAGGGTGTGACATGACCTCGTTTGCTATCCCAAAGCACCAACCTGGCCCATGGGGTTGTCGATGAAGCAATGACTGCCACCTGTGGGATAAGCACAGCATCGGGGACGAGGGCTGCACAAAGGGATACAACCAGGGCTATGCCACACGGAGGCTGAAGAGCCGAGGTCTCAAATGGTGGCAGGCTGTTCCCCAAGGGGGTGTCTGGATATGCGTGATGGAATGCGATGTGTCTTGTGTATATTTCCCACATACTAACTGGGGAAAGCAACAGGTATCAGGTGGGTAAGAGCCAGATTTACTAAACATCCTGCAACATGCCAGACAGTCCCACGGAACATGGTGCCTCCATGGAAAAACATGGCAGGAATGTTCCATGGGTACCAAACTCCCCACTTATGTATCCCAGGAGAGCTGCTGGTGAGGGATGGGATGATGACAGCAAGGAGAGCTAACAGTCTGTGTGCCAGACGCTGTGCTCAGTATTTTACCCAGAAAAAGCAGTGCACGAAGTACTGGGTTAGCTGGGTCTCGCCCCATTTTTGCCTGTAAGTTCCCTGCTGATGGAAAAACATTCACTGCTCTGGGCCTCTGCATTCCCTCGTCAGTGAATCAACGGGTTTCTATTAGAGGAGTCATTTTCAATTTTCAGCTTTCGGCAATAAGACGTTCCCTCAATTAGAACCCCAATATAGAAGAGAAGTAAAAGTTGAGATGCTCTGGCCTCAGGATAGAGGTTTTAACAGAACCCTCCCCCTTTCTCTCCAAGTGGTGAGCCCCAGGCACCTCTCTGAATCCAGGGTTCCAGAGACTCTGGTTTGGAAAAGATGTCAAACAGCTGTTGAGAGCCCTTTGAATGCTTGTATCCTAGATTTAAGATTTGGATACAAATTGTATGTATATGCGATGGACAAAAGGCAGTGATTTCATGGAAAAAAAATTGGTCTCGGAAAACACAGAATCCTAGCCCTGGCATTCACTGCTCTGAAGTCCATGGCCAAGTGAATTGTAAGCCTCTTGCACTCTATTCCCTCTTCCACAGAATAGGAAAAATGCTACTAACTTGCAGGGCTATCTGTAAGATCAGAGATGATCTTTCCACCACCATTTCCATGGTACTTCCCAAGGGCCAGCCAGGGTGCGGGCACAATCTCACTTAATGGTATTGCTACAATAAGGAACCTATAACATTCACGGTATTGCTCATTACGTATGGGTAAGCCCCTCAATTAAGTTGGGAGGGTGCAGAGTAAAGAAATGAAAGGAAATAGATCTCGCCTCAATAGATTTCATTATGTTTGCCACAAAGCTCATCAAGGACACTGAAAATTTTCCCACCATTTTGAGACACCTAGCTTCATCTTCTTACTAAATTATATGGTATTTTACTAAGCAGCAGAACCAAAATTATAGGGTACATTGGAAATTTACATAGGTGATTACTGAACAGTGCAGGGGTCAGAGGTGCCGATGCCCCAGCACAGTCCAAAACCTGTGCATAACTTTTCACTCCCCCCAAACTCAACTACTATATAGCCCTCTTCTGTTGACCGGAAGCCCTACTGATAATATAAACAGTTAACACATATTTCGTAGGTTATCTGTATTCTCACAATAAAGTTCGCTAGGGAAAAGAAACTGTTACTTAAAAAAAAAAATCATAAGGAAGAGAAAATACATTTACCTTATTGTACTGTATTTATTGGGGAAAAAAATTGTGTATAAGTGGACTGACCCGTGCATAAACATTTCCCAAACAGCCTGAGATGGCACAGTAACATTTTTTAAAGAATTCCCGACACACACTATTTTCTTCTGTTTTAATCGGTATGAAGTGACATTTACCAGTTAAAACAAAACAAGATTTTCCCCCAGGTTAGGGTCCAGCTTACTTATGGCTGCTGGGGTGGGGATGTGAGGTTTTACTCTAAGCCCAAACAGATCATGACATTCTCTCTGACCAGCCTCATGCAGAAACAAGCTCCACACACATCTCCCCTGAGTTAGAAAGCAGAGCAGACTCACGTGCCCAGACGCTCCTCATGCTTTCTGCTGTCCTTTCCCCACACTTCAATGTCCAAAATGCCCATCCTGTCAGAGAAGTAGTGAAAGTCAAACTGTTCCCGCCACTGCGGATTTGCACTCTTACACAGTGTCTAGAAAACATGCAGTTATAATATTTATTTTCTTAAAATGCCATTCATTGCTACAGCAGCTACAGACATTCATTTCATTTCTACATGGCAAGAGATCGTGACGATGTGCCTCTCCCTTAGAAAGTTAAACTTTCTGTTTTGGAACGAAAGGGACTTTGAGGTTTCGGGAATTGGCAAACCATCGTTACCCGTCTAGCTCACCCGCAGATTCAAGAATTTATCCAGCCCATTAGCAAGAGTGACCCCACCAGAATTATCCCACAAGGAACCATAAATTATATATATATTATAGACATATAAAACATATCTCAATAGACAGTTACAGTTGCTCTCTCTTACAAAAGATACTCCTCATTGGTTAATCGAATGCAAGTAAGTAACAGTTTTATTAGCACATCCATTCAGCGCTGGCTTAAGAAGTATATAAATTAGCAGGCTGAGGTGTTCATTCACATCTGTCCTATACATTGCATGAAAAATCCATCACTGGGACATTCCTGCCTGTTTTTAACATCTGAGTTCACTGAATCCAGTCACTTGAGAGAAAGACGGAGAAGCCCCACTACAGCCACACTAAAAAAGTAAACAGCCTGGTTTGAAAACTCCACAAGTGTTTCTGTGTTCTTCCAGTGACTGCAAACAGCTTATGTGTTTGATCTGTTAGCAGCATTTTTTGCTTTTGTTTCATTTACCCAGAGACTGAATTTGTGAATAAAATGGAGCAAGAATGCTGGGCACGGACTATCAGGCTAGAAGCACTGAGTCAACTATTAAATCCGAGCGCCAAACTATTCTTGCAAGGGAAAATGGGGACAACTCAGACATCGGCTGTAGCCAACATCATGCAATATCATTTAAGCTCTTTCTCACATTGAGCTTATAAAACATATCATCACAGAATTTAGAAACCATGGGAAAAAAAAAATATCTGACCACAAATTTAATGTGATATTCCCCAAGGGGAACTGTAGCAAATACTGGACTAATTCTGCACTCCACCTTAGTCCAAAGGGCAAAGTGTACTTAGCGATGAATAATTTTTCTATAAATCCTTAGCCTGACCCTGGGCTGGCTAAAGGAATCTTAGTGGAGAGATGTGTTCACCCTGGATACCTACGCTGTCAGGTACAGCCTGAAACTACCTGATTAAAATAATCATCTGCCCAATTCTGCTGTAACTCACCCAGAATTTTTCACATTTCTCAAAAACGATTCTCTGGTGTGAGCTTCAATTTTTTACTCCTTGTGGTGGAGTAAGTGATGTTTAATGTTTGATTTTGCACTGAAGAGCATGCAACAGAGAAACCTCTTGCTCCCTAAATCATTTCCCAAGTGCACTGGTCTTTGCATGTGTCACGTCCTCTACCCTGTAAAGTCCAAATTGCAAATATCCTCGGGTCTATGTTCAAAATCTTCCACCAATGTTTTGTTTTGTTTGTTTTTTGATACGTGGCTTTTGGCAAGTGACAACTTTCAAGTACCCTAGTTCCCCCAATCCATAAAACCGAGGAAATATTCCTGTCTGACAGTTATGCAAAACTAATTCATTACCATGGTTTGGAGACTATGGTTTTTGAAATAAAAACCACACCAAATTACTAAGATTAAAAATTAAGTGGAATTTGTTTCAGGAGAGTAAGGTGATTGAGTTTTAAAGGCAGCTAAAAAAAGCCATTACTTTTGTTCAAAACAAATCACTAATACTTCAGTTTAAAAAAAAAAAATCACAACAACCAGCATCAAATGTCTATTTTTGGTGTTAATACTAACAAGTAAGAGAAAGCAAAGAGTATATGATTTTGAAAATATTTTTTGTTATCTCGACTGTTTTCACCCAAATATAATACATTACGTGATTTTATTTTTGTAGGATTTTGAAAATATTTAATTATACCTTTCCTGCAATCTTTGAAATAATGTTTGCTTATTTTTAAAACAAAAATAAATCATGCATCCAAATCTGTTATTTAATAAGCTTTCTCTAGTTCCAGTTACTATATTAAAATAAATTATGCCAAGCAACCCAATAGGTATATTAATTGACTGCAGCTATACAATTATTTTGTTGTCTGGAATGCTCCTAATAAAGTTATGAGGGCTAAAAATAAATTTCTCCTCTTCTTGTGAAATTCAGAGTGGAAAACATTTTTTTTTCAGTTCCTTTATTATGAAAGATTTTCTACTTCTTAAGGAATTGACAGAACTTACCTTACTTTTATACCTCTGATCTCCCAGTTTTAACTGGACAAACATCTCTGTCATGCTTCCTCCTGAGACATTCTTCCCTTCCAACAACGTTATACTTATAATCCCATTCCAGAGTTGGTTCTTTCTCAAGGACTCTGAGAGCCGCAGGTTACGTATCAAAGAGGACTAAAGCAAAGAAGATGACATATAAACTTGCTGATAATTCTTGAGTGTGACTTTGGTGATCACAGGAATTCCAGCTTTCAATATGGGATTATGAATAGCACTCCCTGACTGGTGAAAGTGTTATTAGTCTTCATTGATTTTGCAAACCTGCAAGCACAGTTATGTGATTTCCTTCTCGAGCACTGGACTTATAACAATATAGTGAAGGATGATTGGGAGCAACACTTGGATTTGGCACTGGCCTATACTCCCACCCAGATGTGCTCCTTGGTAGGAATTCTTCATCAGGGCCTTCAGCTATTTTAATAGTAGGAAGGGAAAAAGGGTGTTCTGGGAAACAGAGAGAAGAGCAAGGCACTGCTTTACAGGGAAACAAAATTCCTCTGGGTATTCAGAAATAATGGTTTTGAATTTATCCTTCACACTTGAATCTGTCCACACTTCCCTGTATTCCTTGGGCTACTACTAAAAAGCCCAACACAACTGTGAGATTCACAACTCCAGATCCAGCCTGCAGTCAGCTAGCCAGCCAAATGAGCTTTGCAGATGTACAGGGAGGGGAAGGATGTAGAAAGCACTTAGCACAGTGCCTGGGATCCAGTACAGATTCAGTAACTGTTTACTTTTTTTTTTCCTTTTCTAAATTATATTACTCATGCACACTCACACACACCTTAAACAGAATATAGAAAAAAGCAAACATCCCCTATTATTAAATTATAAAGAGGACAAGCACACTTTTATTTTTAATTTTCTTTACGTAAATTTTCAAACATACACAAAGGCAGAGAGAATGGTATATAAGTCTCCACGTACTTATTCATCTGCTTCAACATTTTGCCAATCTGATTTCATGTATCCCTTCACTATTTTTCTCTGGCTGAAATATTTGAAAGCAAAAATCCGTATTTGTTTTTCCATAAGCACCATGCCATGATCACAACACTCCACAAAAGTAACCATAATTCCCTTAATATCATTAAATACCCAGCACATATCCACATTTCCCTGAAGGTCTCAACCATGTCTTTTTTTTTTTTTTTATGGTTAGTTTGTCTGAATGAGGATCCCCACATGATCCACATGCTGCATTTAGTTGGCGGAGTTCATTTACGTTCGCCGCTCAATAACGTGAAATGGTACAAGCATGGACTGCTTTATTTGAAGGAGAAATAAATGGACTGAAGAATGTAAATGGCATCAAGTACCACAGTAAAGCAATGAATTTCTAACACTATATATTCATTCCTGTCATCTACTCAATATATCTTCGAGATCATTCAGACACCAATTTGCTCGGACACCGGTTAGTCACAATTTATCACAACAAATGGTATGTCAGTATCGTATTAATTATATACCAGCTTACCTCATCCAACACATGTCACTCCACCACTTTTAAAAATGATGCAGCAGTACCACACCAAGCATTTGGTTGGTCATTCTGTGACTGCCTTAAACAAAACACATTTAAGGAAATCTATACTCTCAAACCTCACATCTGTGTTGCTTTTCTCTTAAAATGCAGGCGTGTGCATGTGTGCGTGGATGCACACACACAAGTTTTGGAGGTGCTGAGACAGAGCAGGGAGGGTGCGTGAGATTTTAAAAAGAAAAAAAAAAAATCCCACTCCTCTGGAGAACATGGGCAATCCTTTCTTAACTTCTGTTTTCAGTTCGTTTGTGGATAGAATATATTCAATAATGAAACTTTATGAAATAAAGTTAAGCAATTTCAAGTTTATTAAAGAACACAGCATATAAATAGACGCATATACAAACATATGCATGTGTTTATAAATCTATATGTAAGCATATAGATCTGGATACGCTGAATACATTTTATAGCTTATTAGGTATACGGGCTGAGAATTTCTATCTTTAAGAGAAAAATGAGATTTGGATTCATATATCCTGCTACAATTCCTTTTTTTAAATTTTTTTCTTTTTAAAGTTTGACTTGCCAACCAACAAGCTAAGGCATGACCTGTCCCATGGCCATGCTTCAAAGCTCCGACAGATATATTCCTCCCTAAACACTGCAACTATTTCAAGATCCTTTTTATAAAGAAGGGAGTAATGTCCACGAGGGATCAAAGGGCATCCTACAGTCTGGCAATTGCCTAAGAAAAATGGCAGTACTTCCATGAAATATGCCCTAAAATAATTTTGTGGCTTGGTATGTCCTAATTTCAAATTGGATGTTTATCTTGGAAAGGCTTCTATCTAACTTGTCCATAAAACAGCCCCACTTAGCTCTATGAGCTCTGTGAAAATGGAATCCAAAGCTGGTTATTAAGGGGGCCGAGAGATAGGTTCCATATGGCGGAACAGCATGGGAGGGCAAGGCTAAGGCCTACATCAGGCGCGGCTTGGCTAGAGCTCCTGATCTATCCACGGACACTCGTTGCATTACACCATAACATCTGGATTATTGCTTGTAATGTCCCTGGGAAATATCCACTTTCCATCAAAGCCTTTATCTATCTCAGTCGGACTTTGAACATTTTAGTGTTTAACGCAGTCATGTTTGATGTGACGGACTTGGTCTTTGCCGTCCAAGATTTTTTTTTTTTTCCCCTTACTAAAGGCAGGATAGGAAAAGTGAACTATTTACTTCAGAGTTCACAGACAGAAAAAACACAGGGCCTTTATTCTCCTCGTTTTACCCTCAATCTTTCTGCAAAACCCACTACAAGGTTATGTCCAAATAAAATTCTGTCTATGAGCAACATATTCTGGGGTGTATGTGTGCTCGAAAGAAGTGTCTTAATTACTTCAACATTTATTTGTCTTCAGCCCTGAGACAAGTGATGAGGCTTAAGAGCGCAGTCAGCGGGAGAGGCAGGTACGGTAGGGGCCATCCTCTGGGAGCTCTGATTCAGAGCTGGGCTCCCCAAATCTTTTGTGCTCTTCAAAAGATCCCTTTCTCCCCACAATCAATCCAATCCCCTGCACTCACTCCGCTAACTCCATAGCTCAAGTTTTCATGTCTGTGCCTGAGCCTATAAGTGAAATTTGTCATCTTAATGCAGCTTGGAATGTGAAAGGAGAGAAGGAAATGACCCATCAAAGGAGAAGCCCACCCCACCTGAGCTGAAACAAACACCAGGAGATAGAGCAAAGTTTCTGGGTCCTGACCCTAATTTCTCAGCCGACATAAAGGATAAAATATAGTACATCAGGGTTTTGTTATTTTTCTCCTTCCTCCCAAAGGATCAGAACCTTTCACTGTTTCTATGTTGTTTCATTCATAGGCTCTCTCTCTTCCTCAATCCCCACCCCACCAAATCCACACCCTTTCTCTGAACAGAAATCATGACTTCCGTCGGAAGCACACACGTTAGTTATTACCAGTGAATACGAGGTATATGATATTTAACTTAGAAACATACTGACTTTCATGGGGCACCCAGGTGACTCAGTTGGTTTAAGAGTCTGACTCTTGGCTCAGGTCATGGTTTGGTCTCAGGGTTGTGGGATCTAGTCCCACGTCAGGCTCTACGCTCAGGGGGGAGTTATCTGTCTGCCTGAGATTCTCTCTCTCCCTCTGCCCACCCTCCCCTCCCCGCACACTCTTTCTCTCTAAAATAAATAATTTTTTTTTTGTAAAATAAATAAATCTTAAAAAAAAAAAAAGGAAAAGAAAAAAGAAAAACCACATGGACTTTCAGAAAAATGAAAAGCTTCAGGAACAATTTACTTCCGGGTCATGACAATCCCAGGGACAAATAAGGAGGGATAAAGAGAGAGTAAAACTGAAAGTAAGAACTGTGGAGAATCTTCACAAGTTTGTGATCTAGGCACAGACTCTTAAAACGGTGCATGACTATCATTCCTGGGACGTATAAAACGGATTACAGCTTGGCCACACGCCTTACTGGAGGATCCCGGTCAAGTGGCATGCTGGGGAGATGGTGATGTGGACTCCAGTCTCTTGGCATGACGCAGAAGAAAACCCAGAAATGACAGGCACGTCAGCAAGGGGCCTCCTCTCTGTTGCGGGCCAGGAAGAATGGCAGACGGGTTAGGAGGAAAGAAAGATCTTGAAAGGAGTAGGGGCCACAGCCTATAGTCATCAAAAGCAATCATCAAAAGTCATCTAGGCCACACTCCAGAACAGACCATGCTGACCAATACTACAGGACAATTATCCAAAGCCCTCCCTCGGGTGGGACAAAATACCAACCAAATTTTTAAAAGATAGGAATGAAAAAGAGGGGCAACGGGAAAATATGTTCACAAGATTTTTCTAGGAAGGCATACTTACTAGGTGCCAAACACTGTGTGGGTACTCTCTCTATGATCTGTTATAGGAATATGAAAATAGGGATTCTAATGCCACCAACATGTCCTATTTTGACTCTCATGAGTTAGTTTTCCTAGGTCTTTGTGAGAAAGGAGGTGTCAGTGGAAACAAATGCATGGAAAAAAATTAACTAACTTTGTAAGCTAAATGAACAACAAAACAAGATTCAACTCTGTTGGCATTGCTTAGAAAAGCTAAGGGAGAACATTCAGTCTATAAAAGGTTTCCCTGAAATACTCCTTCCAAGCTTTTTTTTTTTCACATGTAAAACAACTGTTCATTGTCAACAGCTTTTATAGCATGACATGAGAAGATCCATACATTCATGCAACAGGCTCCCAGAGAAGCTCCTGGCAGCTTCTTATATCATCCGAAGAGGATCCTGTAGGCATAAATTCTCTTAGAACCACACACACACACAAAAAAAAACCTTTGCATAAGGATATAAAGAAAGCCTTTTAAATTTGCCACAAGGACATGGACATGGACCAGGAGATTTATAGCTGTACATGATAACTAGATTATAGTCCCAAGGATAATGAATAACCTGCAGGTTGTACAGACACATTAACTAGAAAAGTTTTATACAAAATTTAACATTTTTTTCATTGTGAAAAAATGCCATTGCTCTGTTTTTTGCACTCCAAAATAAAAGATGAAGATTTTTTAAAAATTTGATACAGTCTATAAATACCCATTTCTCAGGGATTAGGACCAGGAAAATGTTCCTAACACATTTCCTATCCTTAAAACCTAAAGCGAAAAGAAAAAAAAGTGAAGGCCACATGATTCAACAAGATCTTCTTTTTCATCCTAACCCCTAGGAAGGTCAAAGTTAAATGCTGTGCTCATATGTAATAACACCAGTGTGCAGTATTTCTGGATTCCCTTCTGTGTTGCACGTTTCTATGTCTCTCCTTCAGGTACAATGCTTCAAGGGCATCCCTATCTAGGAGGGCATCCCTATCCAGGACCTGCCCTACCTCCCTATACAGTGGAGCAAGCAAAACACTCATTCTCAGACTTCTGCAATGGGCAGGGCTGGCCCCTGAGTACCTGTGGATGTTGTGCACTCTGGACACTGCTCTCGCTTCACCCTAACTCCATCACTACCTAAGACTTAGCAGCTTTGTCTTCTAGCTTCTAGCTTTGTCTCCTGCTCTTCCCAACACCCCAACGCAGACCCAAGTCCACACCAACGGTTCTCAAACTTGAACCTGCTTCAGAATCACCTGCAAGGCTTGCTAAAAGATTGCTGGGCTCCATCCACAGAGTTCAATTCAAGATGTCCGAAATGTTGGGAGGGTGGAGTGGGTCATGAATTCACATTTCCAACAATTTCCAGGTGCTCCTGATGCTGCTGGTCCCAGGGGCTCCACTTTGAAAACCCAATTGGTTGAAGCCTGATAATAAATGCTTTGGAGCACTTGCCATGGACCACATTATTTTATATGGTCATATCTCAATTCACTTCTTCCTCCCTCTCATTTGGGAAGATTCACTGCAGTCTTTCTCTGTCCCCAGCTTTCAGCCCACCTGCAAGGCTAGCATCGGGTCTAACCATGCCCTCAAAATACTCCTACCTCTCTACTCTCTTGTCTCCCGCTGACTCAGCAATCACAATGGCCAAGTCTGGTTTATCTCTGAATCCTCAGGACAGTATTCCGGCCAACCTAGTATGTGCTCAGTGACAGGCTTTGAGCCAAAGCGGACTCTTATGTCATTGAGAGGAGACATTTGATGAAAACTTTTGGGAGGCAGTGGCTCTGTTTTTCTGGTCCGGAGAACACATGAGATTGGAGAGTGCCAACAGATTCATGGCCTTACCTGAACATGACTGAAACCCCCCAGAAATGAGGAAAGCCCCTAGAGGTCTTCCTGACCAGGGTAATGCTGACCTAGACTTCATAACAAGGCAGCAGAGACATCGGGGTTAAGAGATTCAGCATTGGGCCCATGCAGTGCGACTTCGAGACAGATGATAGACAGACATAGACATGCAGACAGACAAATAAACTAGGTTAAAGAGATACAGACAGATATATAGACAAATAAATTAGGTAGATGAGATTAGATTAGGTAGACAGAGATAGAGATAGTTATATAGATTTACAGACGGCTTTCCATAAGTCTTAGATGTCGGACAGATAAGAGCAAAAGGAATAAACTCGAAGGAAAACAGAGAGGGTATAACCTAAATTCATGCAGAATACTTACCCTGTGATTCATGATTCTTACAAAGTAATGGCAATTTTAAAAGTATCCAAAAAAAGCCAATAGCAAAGGCTTAGCCCCTACAGGTTGCATCAGAATACAACGGGAAAAGAGAACCACAATGGGTACTGAAAATAGAAGGGATACAGTGCAGAGAACTGGTCTCACAGGTATAGGATGCCTGAGAGACCAAACAGACAGGGCTGAGAAAACCTAAGGTAGGCAACAGAATGAAGCCCTCCCTAACACTCTGGGGCTGGAGCTGGCAGGTCTGGGGGCGCGGGGGGAGAGGGGGGACAAATTTTCCCTGCCAAGGTCCAGAGAGTAAGTATTCAGGCTTCAGGCTGTTAGGTCTCTGCCCCAACTGCAGTACTCTGCAGCTGCCAGGTAGAGACAATGCTTACCCAGATGGGTACTGCTGTGTTGCAACATTACCTGCAAACGCAGACATAGGGCTAGATTTGTGCCCTTGGGCTGAGGTTTTGCAAGTCCTGGGGAGTGAGGCAAAAAAGAGTAAATATTAGAGTCAGGCTCACCTGGTAGAAGCTGAAACCATGGCAGGTCTAAGGGAAAATGCAAAATACCGTCCATGTCCAGACACCACATGAAACAGAGGGAAAAGGGAGATATATCCTGGAAATTCTCCTACCCGGTAGTATCCTACCAACTCCTCTCATGGTATAAAGCCAGTTGGAGGCCACCTGACAGGGGAACCTAGAAAACATACCCTGTGGTTATCAGCCTCTGTAATAACAGAGAGGAACAAAGATGGAAGAATATGAAGCTGAACAGCCCAAAGACTGGCACCACTACTCAACTAATTTCATACACAGAAGTGGTATAGGTCAGGTCTCTTACTTCGGATTATTGGTATACCCAGTATAAACCAGTGGTCAAAAGAGGGGCTATGTAAAAAAATCCATATTTATCGCAGGACAAATGCATGTACAATAAAGGAAATTCTAGGAAAGAGGAATTGTGATCAGCCACAGGACCAGCAAAGACCCAAAGAAAGCACAGGGGAAGGGTGTGGGCGTGGGTGCACAGATTTCTAAATACAATCAGTGATTTCTCAATTCCATCTTTTATCATTGTGGGTTTTTTTTTTCCCCATTAAACTATGTGATATTAGAGAAGTCACTGCTGTTAATTTTCTCTAAGTGTTAAATGCATTAGAAAGAGAGTAAGATTTGGAAACAGGTCTACTCACAGAAAAGATTATGTATAATAAATAGCTAAAAAGAGCTAGTTATCTGATTCAGGCCCTGTTAAATCAACTCTCAATTTCTCACGTTAAAATGCTCATCAGAAGGTAAACAGAGGCTCTGGGTGAAACCAAAACCTACTTTTTTTAAAGGCAATCTCTTATGTATTTACTACATTACGGTCAAGGTCAATGGAGTAAGAAAACACTTTAGAAGAGAGTCTGCCATTCTGGGCCCCTTTGGATGGTGCAAAATTATAAACTTATGGGGTTTAAGAGGCAATTACCCAAATAAAGTTAAGCCATTAAAAGACTAAGATTGAGGTGAAAAAGTCAATGACGTTTTATAGAGAATATATTACTTAGGACTAGTAAAATTTTAGATACTCATAGCATAGTAATCTCTATGTCAAACTTCTGTTGCCTCATTTTTAAATATAATATGGAAAGCCTTAAAAAAAAAAAAAGAAGAAGCTTACAGTTTAAAAAATACCAAGATAGGTTGATCAGGGTATTTTAACTACTTTTACAGAGGGTTAATCATCACGCCTACAGATTTTCCATGGGACTCATTTTCATAAGTCAAATTAGAAGCTCCCTCACTTTCTCCGCAAAAACTGCAAACTCTAAGTAGCAAAAAGCCAACCTAACAACGGAAGTTCTTCACCAACACATAAACTGCATCTCTCATGTAAGATCATGAGCGGCATTCAATGAGCTCTACTCATCGAAGGTTTTGTTAAACACAGGCCCCAGGTCTGGGCATTTATTAAGTCTCTGAGCCCAGCGCAGTGAAGTCAAAATTCTAGAAACGACCACGAGGGGAAAAAAGAACACAGGAGCTCGGTGGGAAGACACAAGTCTGCAGTACAGATATAAATACTGGTTTCCAGGATCTTCTGCGCCTTTCGTATCTGTGATATCTTTATCCAGGCCGTCAACATTTCTTCTCTCCCTCCTCACTCCTTTGGTCATTCTCCCATAACGTCTCCTGTCTTCCCCAGACTCCAATATTCCCCAAGCTCACAATTTTTCTTTCTCGCCTTTATGTTCTCCCACAAACTGCCAGAGCTCTTCCACAGGCCGGAGCTCCCTAACTAAAGATGGTTATTGATGTACAGTACCAGTGTTTTAGTGCAGCAGGAGAATCAATAAACGAGAAAATACTGCTTTGTCAGGCTTCTCCAAAGCATGCCGGGAAACTTTACTGCTTCGGATGGTTACAGAAGCTCTTAATATGGGACAGCAGGAGTGGGGCTCCCTTCTGTGGCAAGAAATGATGTTCTTCTACCCTCTAGTGACTATAAAGGAATAAGACAAAAGTTGGAGGAATTTTTGAGACAGCTTCACATTACTAATGGTCTCTTAATTTTATTTCTAAAAAAAAAAAAACAAAACCAAAAAAAAAAAAAAACAGTTTGTAAACCAAGTGAACTGGTTAATAAAACAACCTATTGTGGTCATTTTTAGAGAGTATAAAATGCAAAGGATATACATTTTATTAAGAGGTGGGCTTTGATTCCTTTGGATTTTAAAAAAGGTTTGAAAAGTTTGTCTTTCCAAATGACTAGTGCTAGTCAGGGGACAATTCTGTCTCTCTCTTTCACACACACACACACACACACACACACACACACACACACAAACACACACTTTTACAAACTCACAAAGCCTTTGTTTCAACTGCCTTATTTTACAGAGAAGCAAACAACTGAAGAACCATGAGGTTAGAAATGAGAGTGGGCATGCATTTGTGCACTTAAGTGTATGTGTCAATGTATATACAATGTATATACAAAGATTGCAGGGTTATCTGCCAAATACATACACACACACACACACACACACACACACACACACACATATCACAGTCACCTCCATGTTGGTTCTTTCTCTTTAAAAAGTAGAAGAGCAGTGAAATTAAGGTATAAATACTTTCTTGGTTTTGTTCATGTTCCCACCAACTTTGACATGTAGTCACTCATGACATACTAATTTAATAACCAGATAGATTAACCAATGCTTTCTTACCTTGTACAAGGAGAGCTTTTACGAATTGGACAACAGTTTATAATCGCTTAAAAAGATACTCGCAATGTAAAAAAAAAAAAAAAAAATCACTGGTACTTCATGAAGAAATCTTTCAAGAAACTCTCAGCAACAAAGGTAACAAATGGTAAAATAAGACTAATAGAAGAGAGATTTATAAAATATACCGCAGAGTCCTCTCCATTAATCTTTTCATTGCCCCTACAACACCAAAGCTAGTTTCCATCTAGTGGTATACAACTTTACCTAAAGGACGAATTCTAACAGCACTAAACTCCAAATAATCCAGACTTAATGAAGTGTAACATTCTAACATGCCTGGTACATATAAAATGTCACCACGAAAACATGTATAAGTTCCAACATCTGGTTATGCCCTTATTAAATGAAATTAAATGAAATAAAAAGGGAGGTTGTTTCCTTCTTATTCATTGCAACAGTGAGAAGAAGAGAATGCTGTTACTATGTATAAAGGTTGGATAATACCATTCAAGTGCACATCTGTGTTTGCAACAAAGATGAGCTTTTCCCCAAATGACATAAAGAAACAGACAAGTATATTTACCTTGCTGGTACTCAATCGCTTCCGATTTGACCAACGCTGGAGATTGAGTCCATCGGATGGTGAAAAATGGCAAAAGGAAAGAGAGAAATCGAATCATTAATAACATAATTCCATTATTATATTAGTTAGATGGTGCACACTCTATTCAAACAACTAACACCCAAGTTCTGAGGTTACAGAGAAAACACATTTGAGCAAAAAAATGGAAACAGAAAAATCACATTTCTGTGGTTGTGTGACATCATTGTCTCCTAGTATTCACTAATAAGAAGACAAGACATATGAATACTGCTCAATCTTTAGAAGTACCAGTTCTTAGTATGAGAAGGCTCTCGACCCTTAAAATGCTTTTAATTGCCTTAAAGCTCTATAATTTCATGTCTAAAAGCAAATTGCAAAGGCAGATTTCTCCTACTTGAAATATTTAGATAGTATTCTAAAAATATTTAAGAAGTTCATGGACAATGTTAGTGCATGCTTAGGCTTCCATACCTTTAGATACTAAAAAAAAAATAATTCCATTTACCCCCAATGATCAAATCTCAATCTTTAAGGTAACAGGAGGAAAATATCTGAGCTGTTCCTGCACAATTAAGAAAAATAGGCTAATACAGCACCAAGGGAGGGAAGAACAAATTTTCCGAACAGCAAGTAACTTCACCACTGTTCTCTTTTGATCTCTCATTTGTCATGCTAAGACTGCTGAATTTTGTCTACAATTAAAATTCTTTCCTAG